TAATTATACTGTACTTTGAAAAGTTGTAAAAACTAACTCACTGTTAATTATGTACGGTACATAATAGGAGTTCATAAATGCTTCGGAAAATATATACAGAATCATTAAAACAAAAAACAAGTGATTATAGTACCGAATTAGAAAAAAAAAGAAAAAAAAAAGCAGTTAGAAAAATCTACTGACGACAAAAGGAACCTACAATTCTGCATCAGCAACTACTCAAAACAAACATTAAAATGCTAATTTGAAGGAAAACCTTTTATATCCGAATAGCAAAACAAATGCTGAATAATGATAATGCTATTGATCATTATTTTTAAATATTTACAATCTCGATTTGAGGATTTCTAATTTAAGTTCTATAAGAATCTAAATCTATCTGTTATCATTCTAACGTAAAGAAAAAGCTAAGAAAATGTTTCATCTAAATTTTTTGGGGAGATGGATAATGGATAAAGATGGATAAATGTTCTTTATAAATTTTTTATTTTTTTTTGTAAAACTTAAATAGGACATTCTCTTAGTTGATTTTCTGTACAAATATTTAAAAATGTATAAAAAACTGTTCATTTTCAAATGATAAAAGACTTTTACGTGCTTCAAATGAACATTAAGATAAACTTTTTGGAAACAATTTTTAACGTTTTCGTGCGCGCTCGTTAATAATCGTAGTTCAATGTTTTTTTCTACTAACAAAAGTATTTAATGCTTCTAATTACAGGTTATTTATCACGAACTTCGATATTTGTAATGTATACTATACTTAAAATAATTGTCAAGTATTCGTATTTTGATAATTAACTACATAAGAACTTTAGATACAAAAACATTTCCCCTGTAAAGTGTTAGATAGATGACCTGCATGACTCTATTGTTAAAGGAAAAGTATGATGTACAGGGGCAAGCCACTGCTAATTTGAGATGGAGAGCATATATTTTAAATTTCCTTTAATCTTATTCAATAGAATTTTATTATATGTTTTAATACAAAAATAAATTTATAATATTTTTAAAATTTAAACCGTTGGCTTTTTTTACATTCGAGATATAAACTTTGCGTTACGATTTTCAGACCTCTTGACGAAGAGAAAAAGGGGCTTTTAATTTCAAATCATATCTTCAAATCTTGCAACTCAAATTACATGTATTTCTAATTAAGATAGAAAGCTGAAACTTGAGTATATATCTGTTCGATGACAATGCATTTTAATGATAATTTAGAATGGTGACTCCATTTCTATCATCCTCCCCACTCTGAAACCCGATCAATATAGTTAAATTTAGAATTTAATCATATACGTTGTGATCTGGGGTGAGAATGATGGGATGGTTTCACTCCATCATCCTCATTCCACTCTCAAAGAACATAGCCAATAAAAGCGTTTTTTAAAAGAAATTTAACATATTAAAATTATTTTATATATAGATCATTATTAATAATTGAAAAATTTAATAATGTTTTTCATTACTTTCTAATTATACACATTTTCTTAAAAATTTTGTAATTCACAATATAACTTAAGTTTCTTAGTTTATGATATTTTTATTCATTCGCTATAGCTAATTGATAATTAGCTACAGCAAATGAATAAAAATATCATAAACTAACAATAAAAGTGGTGTGTAAACACAAACATATATAAACTGCTGTGCAAAATTTGGGTAACAAACAAACACAAACTGTAGGTTATCTGGAAAGTAATAGGTAAATTGGGAAGAAATTTTGTACACAGATACTTCATGTCACGAGGAAATGAAAATTAATTCATTAGTCGTATAAAATAAAAACAAAAATGTTAACTTTTAGAGATATGCATATTTTGCCACGAGTACCCAAGTACCCGAGTACCCACGAGTGCCACGAGTTAGCAGATCTCATGCTTTATAAAAAGTGGCTAATAGAGAATGTAATTCTCTCTTCCAGCCATACAGCACCCACAACAAGTAGTCGTATTGTTTAGCAGATTCTGAAGAAGTCTTTGGGGCAAAAAACCTCACTTCTCCATAAGGATTTTAACTTATAATAGGTCCTAGGAGTGGGCTGACGTGGTGCTTCCAGAATATCCCGGGTATAATTAAGTAACAAGCGACCTCCACCTCTTGTTACTGGTCTATCTCAAATCTACTCTATCATAATGCATCGTCTATATGATGATGCAATATCGTTTTATGAAAATTCGATTAACCTGACTACAATCACTACGAAAAAACAGTCAAATCATAGGTTCATGGAACTCTCATTTTTTCCTTGCTTCGTAATTTGTGCATATTCTCAGCAGTCACTTCTAACTGATTTTTACGACAACAACACTAAAAACTTTGTAAATTATTATGAGCACTAGCAATAAACTGATGTATTATTCTTATGATTAGAAATAAAATTTTAAATCTGTTATTAAGCAAAAGTAAATGTGTTTTTGATTATGTTACTAATATTTTGTGGTAGGTCTAATATGATGGTAATCAACAACTAAGCATACTCTTTTCGTATTGTATTGACTAAGTGGAGATTTAAATCATTTTACATAGGATGAAATGAATCATTAGAATTTACAGAGCTTTATGAACACGATAATAGAAATAATGACCATATGTCATCATGTTTTTTTTGTTTTAAATTGTAATTTTATACTGTAAATGCATTAGAACAGTTTTTTATTCAAGAATAGAGTCGGTCTAATATTATTGTGTTAGTTCAAATGGATTACATGTGGCTAGTCTCAAATTGTATCCATTATGGATACAATTTGAACTAACCTACGCTAGGGCTGGCGAAGTAGTCAGTATGGAAAACCAGAAACAAACGATAATCTTGGTTCCTCAAAAGATTCTCTCTCACTCACACTCAATTTTATTTATTGGCACACAGTGCCACCTGGCTTCGCATAGCATTACCAGGTTTCTCAAAACACTATATGACCCAAAGAAATTTCCGAAATAATAAAATCAAAGTAAAATTTCTATAAACCAATCCAGAAAAATCAGAACCCAGGACCGCTAAGAAAATAATGTAAGGAACAGGGCTCTTATATTCACTTTTCTCTGTTTTTCCTTTGTAAGCACTAAGAGGGTCTTTTCCATATCCATCGTGTAAAAAACATTCTTGAATTGTTTTATTTTAAGCTATTTTAATATAGGAGCTTGTTTTGATATGTTTCGATTGCATTGAATTGAATCGATAGTTTAAAGCAACGCAACACACGCTCAATCTGTCAAGATGGGAGTGCCTTCCGCGAGTAACTAGTGGGAAACTTTTAGAAACAATAAAAAGTTTGTTGAATGAAATATTTTCAATTTTGTAAATCTATCAATTTTAATGAAGTTTAATTCAAATTTTTGATGATACAGTTATTGAATTTTATGTTTCTATAACTTTATTATTACTATCTTAAATGTATCTTTATGAGAAATTTTAAATCTATTCGTTCAGGATGAATTCTTTATTTAAAAAAACTAAATATTTCTGAGTAGATTCTTTAGTTGATTCTTTAGTAGAGTTTCCAAATCAAAGTCATGAAGTTTATCTCAACTGATTCGCGTTGTGTAAGGGCGAACATTGTGTCCTGAAGAATTAAGATTAGATTAATGGAATTAGGCAACGAACACGAGAATTCTGACAAGGGGCGCCTTCTAGGTGATCTTTCACTGTACAGGAAACGGGTCCTTATTTAGGATTAGACAAGTAAAGTGGTCAGGCTCTAACTATAAACTATATTTTATCCATTTGATCACTAGTAGACATTTGTTTTGAATGAATACACCTCCTTTACTATGAACAAGTGTAGGCTTGTTTTGGAGTAGTGCATTCGCAAACCATTGTATACTTATAGTTGTGCAAAGTATTGTTTGACCAGTAACAAGGAGTCATAATGAACACAAAGAACTGCAGTCTATCAGATTTTCTATTGATGGATTCTGGACGTTGGTGTTTTGCAATAGAGGTTCACTCGATAGCAATATATACGTATGATATGAACGCTGTTGTACAGACAACTTATCTTTTATTGTACCTATTCCAAACTAGCTCATTCTTGTATTGTGAAAGCAGCGACAAACAGTTCATAAACTACTAGAATTTGTTGTTGGCAATCTAATTCAAACCCGTTTGCTTAACTTCCAGGTTTTTTCTAAACTATTATGCAAGCGAATACTGTTGTCATTACATTGAAACCTTTCTGCAAGCACTGTAATCGTTTAAATAATAATATTGAAACTGCAGAAACATTTGATTTCCTGATACATATCAAATGATAAAACAGTAACCGAATACAATAGACTCTCGCTAATTCGGCCATTCTTTTCACTGACGGATGCCAGATTACTAAAAGTGTATAGACTTAAAGACAATGAATGGCGTTACCCGTCGTGACAAATGATCACATTTTCACGAAAACGGAAGGGCATACACGATCACACCGGAAGGTAAGACGGATATTTAAGATAATAGATTATTGAGTGAAAGATTGGCGAGAGTCTATTGTATATTCTTTCGGTAAAAAATGTTTTTTAACGTAATTAGGACATAATTAAGTATATAAATAAACAGAAAGTCATTATCCGTATTTGTTTTAAATATCAATATTAAAAAGAAAAATTTTGAAGTGAAGATTGTCTGGTTTTTAAAGCCGGATAAATATATCTAGCCTTAATGGCCAGACAATTATCAAAGGTCATTATTTCGAAAGATTTATCTAGCCTTTTTTCCAAAACTTGTCGCAGGTTTTAACGCTCGAAAAACAGCAAAGAAAACTTTTTTACATTTTGCTTTTTCATCCTTCACTTTATCAAAATAGTTTATATATAAAATACTGTGAAATTATGTCAATTTTGAAACTGAAACACGAGAAATTTGATAACAAGCGTACTATCAAATTTACAATGGCAACTTATTAATTAATCAATTATAAATTATTCTATCTACACACTTGACCTTTATAAAATTCGAATTGGAAATGAATAAATTTTAAATGCTTAAAAATTATCCTTACAAATATAAATTAAATTTTTTGTAATAAAGTATTACAATAATGAACTTTAAACAAAGGGAAAACACTTCGTTCCAATGGAGCTGGATTATTACAAATTTATAAGTAAATTTATTTTGTAAATATTAGACCGTAAATTACAATTTTTTAAAAAGATATATCCTAATAAATTCTTAAATTTAGTTAATTATTTCTCAATTACAGTATACAGATTCATCTTTGAAAGATTGGTCAAGTTCCCTCTAAAATCAAGGATCGTACTTTACTGAATTATATGTAATTATCCTTTAAAATATTAATTAAATATACCTAAATCCTTTTACAATAACATGTAAAATATATTTTTAATATTATTATTAAGAAATTGAGCCTAGTCAAGGATCCATACTGAAGAAAGGACGAAAGTAAGGGTATGAAAAAGAGGATAAGAAAATGTCCCAGGAGGATACTGAGCAGACATAGTAATTCAAAAAGGATAAAAATAAATGTGAAATGTTTATATAGTATTTGTAATTATATAAAATAGCATCTTCACTACAAAGATGTAGTATGACAGTATAGTGAAAGACAATACAATTAAATAAATAAACCTTAATCTTTTATTTGTTAAATCTACATGAAATTTTAATTCGATATAATTAAGAATGTTAAGAAATTAAAATTTAATATCAAATTTCGAGAATAATAAATCAATAATTAAATGTCGAGTCGAAAATTAGATGTATATTAATAGAATTTGATATCATTAAGACATAATTAATTGAAGTTGATGTAAGCTGTGTTTCGAATAACAAGTTGTAATCTTATAATAATAATGACTAATAAATTCATTTTTTAAATATTATTTTTATAATATGAACGAGCAAAAGTCATTTTTATTATTTCTTAGTAGACACAAAGCATTTAATTATAATTATTTCCTATAACAAGCGTCAAATATATAAGGTTTTATACTAATTTAATTAAGTAAAGGAGATAAAAACTACATTTAAAATTACAAAATATTTAATCGAATGTAAACAGATACAAGAAAAACAAAAAAAGAAACTATTCATATTCATTTATTGTATATATTATCTATAAAATAATATGAAACCAAGAGTTTATTTAATGATTTCATACAATTCTATTAGTTTATATATTTAAAGAAAATCTTCTAGAAAATACAACAATTTTAGTCTAAAAGTAATATGAGATATATAAAAAGCTGTTCACAAATATAATTTTATAGATAGTGACGTGTCTATATGATCCACATAGAATTAAGGGTCGCTATCAGAGTAAACATGACACCAAATGCAATTTATTTCTCACGAAATATAGGCCTATCACCTAAACTTTAAACTATTGGCTTACTAAGTTTAAGATAAATCCAAATCTTAGTAAGATGAAAGAACGATTTATTGTAACTGCACGTCTTATTTATTAAGAAATTATTCAAATTGATAAATTCCCACTGGCATCTGCTTGTCATGTCTGTCCTTTCTTATTCCCGAGAACGGAGTTAGATAGATGAAAGTAGAGACCAAATATGGAAAGTTCGGGACAGAAGGCCTTTATTAACTATATACGAATATCCGGTTTGAATCAGAAGTCACGTTATTTCAATTAAAAAAATTTTTCCTGGACGGTGTTAGATAGATGACCGGCAATGATTCTTATGTTAGCAGGAAAAGTATGATGTACAGGGGCAAGACACTGCTAAAATTGAGAGCATTGCGATGAAAAATTGAAGCCAGCATTGTGACGATGTCACAATAAATAATTACTTGTTTTCATCTAAATTATTCTTCTGTATAAAGAGCAAAGAGAATTTAATCGATTAACATCTCTTTGAAGGTTTGCTTTTATTATATTAATTAAATGTAACGTAGAATTTAACTAAATGGAAAAGGACTTACCACTTAAGCCCTTTCTCATTTAACTTTTGTATTTCTTCATTATTACCATTAAAATTTTATGCTCATTTACCATAGACATGAGTCATCCTGAACTGGAAGAGCCTATGTCAGGTGAAAGGAAGGAAAGGAGACACGAATCACAGTAATAAAATTTGTAAAAAAACAGTAAAACAATAAATTTTTTATGATGAAAATAGTATAAAAACGTTTTAAAAATAAAAAAAACAGTTGAAAAGATCAGATCCACGTCTGCTTTCGTTCCTTTCATCTGACATAGACTCTTCCAGCTCAGGCTGACTCATGTCTACTCTTTCGCTACGCAGACTATAGTTCTTTGTTATTGAGATGCAATTCAAATAGTTCTGCAGAAGTAATACTTTTAGTCTTAAAATAAATACACTATCTTCTCAGTTTTCTTCCTCGCATCCGAAGTATAGTGGTCTAATATCAGTTTATCTCTCCTGAGAATGTGATCAAATTAACATCTTATTTTTACCTGGTTTTAAGTCTGAGACGAGAACCTGAGAAAATTTACATGAACGAACTAATAAATTCATAGAAAACTATCACAAACGATTATGAAAAATTATATTATCACGTATACTTGAACATTTTCCTCAATGGCACATTATCCTGTAGGCAAAAAAAAAAAAAGACAATTCCCTGGGTTCCCCACCGACAAAGTGCCTCAAACCAATCTTTTATAAGAAAATATTTCCCCCAAAACTTCCTTCGAAGAATAATGTCTGAAGTCAATACATGGAACTCCTTAATTCAAAATTTTCTGAGTCCCTTGAAGCTAGAACGACCCACTGATTTTTCTATGAACTATATTCCAGAAATGTATTGCGTGAACCAGAGGGGAGGTCAGAGATCGCCCGCCTCTGTCACTAGTCAGGATGATACGTCAGGCGAGTGAAGGGAGAGTTGCTTGGGGTCGACGATAAGGTAAAGGGCGTGATCGATAAAAGGAGTCTACCATATTTTTAACCAATAAAATAACAATTTATTAAAGTAAGCAAAATGACAAAAGACTACACCAAGCTCGTTTCTATACCGACTTAAAGACACAAAGTTTCTGTACCGACTTAGAGAGAGTTTCACCGTTCTTTCATACCTCTGTATAGCCGTCCCCTTGACGATTCTGAACGATCCAAGGGTTATAATCCAGTTTCGGCACAATTTACATATAATCGCGACTTAAGCGCTGATTTAATTCGAGGTTCATCGGAGATCGGAATTCGGCGGGTTCGGAAGATCGGAGCGATGTCGTTAGTCCGGCGTTCGTTAAGAGACTTCCCCGAGAGGGGGTAAGAACGGTCTTTTATAGGTTTTAGTGGAAATTTCCACCACGTGATCGGATGTTCATGAGTTAAAGTGTTTCTGGGATCTACAACAAATGACGACATTTAGGTACTAACTGTAAACTTTCTTGCAAGATGAGATGCAAGTTCTGCAGAGAACAATGGATGTTGCTAGTTAGGACCGGAAAGTTTACACAATTCCGGGCAAGATCGTTTTTTCTTCTAAGGCGTTACATAAACGAAAGTTTAATTAATTAACATTTTTGTTGATAAAAAGGCGACATTTTCGTCACAAAAATTCCGGATCTCACAATTGTTAATGTGCTCTGCTTGCCACCATTATATTCTTATATTGTTTCTTAAAACTACGGAATCTTTCCTTTATCTAGTGAAAGACTAAACAATAGGCGCCATATTTTCCCTGGTGCCAAATATTATACGATGGCCCTGGGTCCCTAATATGTGGGGCATTATCTCTAACTATGAAACAAAAAATAATTTAGTAGAAATGATTATGCATAAAATTAACTTAAAAATTCTTCTCTATTCCTAAATTACTTGAANTTATATTAATGCTTACTTTCTACACACAATATATATATATATATATATTCTTATCGATATAATAGGAGAAAAAAATCTGCATTTGACAATATTATGGCTTCACAAAAATATAAAAATGTATCGATTGAAAGTCATTTATCTTTTCATCTTTCTCAACAGGATTCGATAGAAAAGAAATAAAACTATTACTCCCTAACAATAGTCCGGTATAGAAAGATATAAAACAAAGTATTATATCCTGAGTTTCGTATTGAGTAACAAGAAGAGAATTTTATGAGTTAGCTTTATCGAATGTAGGTATATATATTTTTTATAACCTTTATATATATATATGTATTTTAATAAGTCCATAATATAAATATTTCGAATGCTCAGAAATTCTTAATTGTATAGATTATAAGTTAGAAATTTCAATATTTTAAAATTATTGTGAGTTTTTAAGTAGCAAACAACTGGATAAACAAACCAATGGCTTAGTTCGTTTCGTATGTTACGGAATAGGCTATTTGTTTGTGTATTTAATTTCTTGTCATGTGATTTAATTTAAAAGTTTGAAATCCATTCGTTTTAGTTTTTAATGAGAAATAATTGCTTAAAAACATAAATTTAGAAATAAGTGTCAAAAAGTGCTAATCTAAAACCGAAGTTAAAAAACATTTTTCTTGTTTTGAAAGTCATTACTTCGCTTCAGGACATAAAATTTAATTAATTATTTATTTATTTTTTCTTTCTTTCTTTTCGTGTGTTTTAAGAAAGTTAAATATTACAAAATCGATACCGAAAGTTAAAAATAAAAATCTTTTTTACACATGTCTTTATTCAAACACAAAGTCAAACATAATATTTAATCGTGTTTATTCAAGAGTCTTTTTCGTAAATCAATATATTTTTTCTAAAGAAAATGAGACGTTCTCAATCATCTAAGATGCTAATTAATCTATCAATTGGCATAAAATTTAAATGGATAAAATTGAAGAAAAAGTGTCTTACTAAATTACATAAAGCTTTAAAATGATGTATAAATCGTTATTTAAAAATAAATAAATAAAATTGTTTTTACGGGATTTATTATTTAATTATATATATATTCATGATGCATCTAGCACGTATCGTTGTATGGAAATTGTATATTATTAGATGTATTTTTAAGTAAAATTAAATACAAAATTTACGAGAAAAAAACTATAATATTAATGTTTTAACTCGTAAAGATTGTTTTTAACAAATTTAAAATGTTTTAAATTTAAAATGTTATATTATTTTGCAAGAAAAACAAAAGATTTCAGTAATTTTTTGTGTGTTAAGATGCTGACACAACGTATCGATTTTNTGGAGATAATACATTTTTATCAGTTTAGAACTCGAATCCTTTTCTTGATTCACATAGCACATGTTTCGTACATTAAGATTTAAAATAAGCCATAAAATAACATTTAAAGTGTTGATTAACTAACTTTAAAACTTTTCATCTGTAATTCTGATGTTAGATTTTCGTACAGGATGTAGCAGAATACATTAGCACCCTTTAATAGCAGATACCTTAAGGATAGAGTAGCAAATTTTTATAAAATAATTTTTGTTAACAGATGATTCTGCATTCATGTCGTTAATTTCTTGATTTGGCAAGATAAACAAACAATAATATTTCTCTTATTATTGTCAGGAAGCCCGGGACAACACAATTTAGCACTATAATCATTTTTTCATGAATTGTTTGGATTCTACTCTCTCATGCTTGCTGGCCAATTCACTAGTAATTACATTCGTTCATAATGAGCAATACTAAGATATTAATGCAATTCATTGTAAAGTAGTTCAGAAAAACTCTCCAATTA